CTGCTCCTCTCACGGTGCCTGCTCCTCTCACGGTGCTGCTCCTCTCATGGTGCTGCTCCTCTCACGGTGCTGCTCCTCTCATGGTGTTGCTCCTCTCACGGTGCCTGCTCCAGCAGATGTCTCATTGCAGGAAGTCTGCAGAGACTCTCTCTGTCGTTGTTTAAACCTTTCCTGAGGTGCACGTTCTCCTTACAGGGAAGTACTTCAGCGGTCGTTGTTAAAAGTTTAAGGTTGATCTAACGAGACTGAGTCAGGTCCTCTGGATGGATTCTAGTTAGCTTGAAGTGTTTTGTCTTTTATCCACAAAACTTCAGTGTGAGCAGCTGCAACAGACTCAGTCACACGCAAAAGGATATGGAGGACGGAAGGTGACAAAATGAAATAAATACATAATAATGAAATGTCATTTAAATATTAAATACATAATTAAATTGTTAAATGCATAAATAAATTATTAAAAACACAATTAAATATACAATAAAATTATTTCATGATTTATTTATTTATTTCATTTTGTCACATTCCACCCTCGTGTGTCACCATGAAATTATAACTGTCAGTCTCACTCGTCAAACTCAGTGGGCGGGACTAGGGCGGGACTAACACTGATCATGTGAAATCCATTGCTTTGGTCTGGTCATTTTGTAAAAGCTTGTCTTCTTTATGCATTTTTTTTTTTTATTCATGCATTTTTAGCATGGTATGAAAAAAGGTTTCATCCAATTACACGCAAACACAATTACCACTTCCTAACATTTCTGAATAGCTTTTCATCCATGATCTGTGGTGGATTTGTCTTCACTTGCTGTGACGAGCAGCCAATCAGGAGTCAGGGTCTGTTCACGAGCCACCCTAGCCCCGCCCACTGAGTTTGACGAGCGAGACTGACAGTTAACATAATTTCATGGTGTTACTGGAAGACGGAAAGTGACTAAATTAAATAAATCATGAAACAAATAATTTAAAAAGTACATTTCATTATTTAATGGTGTATTTAATAATTAAATTATGCATTTAATTGTTATGTATGTGTTATGTATTTATTTATTTCATTTTGTCACATTCCGTCCTCCATAAAGGAGGACCATGAGTCTAACAACCGATCGTTCGTGCCCTGATGGCCGCTTGCTTCGTGGTTGAATTATTTTGTGGATGAATTGTTTGTTTATTTCTCCCAGTTTGGATGTTGGCAGCCATCTCTAGCCAAAATAAATAAATATTATCAGATAGCATCAACAGGATCTTCATTGCCCCTGCTCTATGACCTTCCACTGCCCAACTCTATTTTTGGCTTTTCCCACCGGACCCAGACTACATAAACATACAGCGCAAACACACACATCCAGAGGTTTTAGAGCTCGAGTTGTGTATCGCAGAACACACACCCCTCCCAGCTGTCTCTCTGGGTTTAAAAAGCCTTTAAACTGCTTAGGATTCCCTCATTAAACTTAATGTGACGTTAGCAATGCTAGCAGTACAGGAAGTGAGACTCAAAATTAGCTTGGATTCATGCGATCTGTTAGCGCTCGGAGCTGAAGTTGGAGACGAGTCTCAGCTACTACCACGCCAAATTTAATGCCGATATGTGAGAAGTCGACTGGTTTATAGTCGTTTATATGTTTGCTATAGTTGATCAGCTGTGGCAGCCATCTTGAATTGTGCTGAGTCCAGAAGTGAAAGAGACGTAGTCGCACATCCAGCGATTGCTCTCAGAGAGTTTCATTCAAATCCGTCCAGTGGT